TAGGAAACATGTTATGTGCCATTGATAGCACCCAAGATCTACAGGAAACATGTTATGTGCCATTGATAGCACCCAAGATGTATAGGAAACATGTTATGTGCCATTGATAGCACCCAAGATGTATAGGAAACATGTTATGTACCATTGATAGCACCCTGGATCTATAGGAAACATGTTATGTGCCATTGATAGCACCCAAGATGTATAGGAAACATGTTATGTGCCATTGATAGCACCCAAGATCTACAGGAAACATGTTATGTGCCATTGATAGCACCCAAGATGTATAGGAAACATGTTATGTGCCATTGATAGCACCCAAGATGTATAGGAAACATGTTATGTGCCATTGATAGCACCCAAGATCTACAGGAAACATGTTATGTGCCATTGATAGCACCCAAGATGTATAGGAAACATGTTATGTGCCATTGATAGCACCCAAGATCTACAGGAAACATGTTATGTGCCATTGATAGCACCCAAGATGTATAGGAAACATGTTATGTACCATTGATAGCACCCTGGATCTATAGGAAACATGTTATGTACCATTGATAGCACCCAGGATCTATAGGAAACATGTTATGTACCATTGATAGCACCCTGGATCTATAGGAAACATGTTATGTGCCATTGATAGCACCCAAGATGTATAGGAAACATGTTATGTGCCATTGATAGCACCCAAGATCTATAGGAAACATGTTATGTGCCATTGATAGCACCCAAGATGTATAGGAAACATGTTATGTGCCATTGATAGCACCCAAGATGTATAGGAAACATGTTATGTGCCATTGATAGCACCCAAGATCTATAGGAAACATGTTATGTGCCATTGATAGCACCCTGGATGTATAGGAAACATGTTATGTGCCATTGATAGCACCCAAGATCTACAGGAAACATGTTATGTGCCATTGATAGCACCCAAGATGTATAGGAAACATGTTATGTGTGATTGATAGCACCCAGGATCTATAGGAAACATGTTATGTACCATTGATAGCACCCAAGATCTACAGGAAACATGTTATGTGTGATTGATAGCACCCAGGATCTATAGGGAACATGTTATGTGCCATTGATAGCACCCAAGATCTACAGGAAACATGTTATGTGTGATTGATAGCACCCAGGATCTATAGGAAACATGTTATGTACCATTGATAGCACCCAAGATCTACAGGAAACATGTTATGTGTGATTGATAGCACCCAGGATCTATAGGAAACATGTTATGTGCCATTGATAGCACCCAAGATGTATAGGAAACATGTTATGTACCATTGATAGCACCCTGGATGTATAGGAAACATGTTATGTACCATTGATAGCACCCAGGATCTATAGGAAACATGTTATGTACCATTGATAGCACCCAAGATGTATAGGAAACATGTTATGTACCATTGATAGCACCCTGGATGTATAGGAAACATGTTATGTGCGATTGATAGCACCCAAGATCTATAGGAAACATGTTATGTGCCATTGATAGCACCCAAGATGTATAGGAAACATGTTATGTACCATTGATAGCACCCAAGATGTATAGGAAACATGTTATGTACCATTGATAGCACCCAAGATGTATAGGAAACATGTTATGTGCGATTGATAGCACCCAAGATCTATAGGAAACATGTTATGTGCGATTGATAGCACCCAAGATGTATAGGAAACATGTTATGTGCCATTGATAGCACCCAAGATGTATAGGAAACATGTTATGTGCCATTGATAGCACCCAGGATCTATAGGAAACATGTTATGTGCCATTGATAGCACCCAAGATCTACAGGAAACATGTTATGTGCCATTGATAGCACCCAAGATCTACAGGAAACATGTTATGTACCATTGATAGCACCCAAGATCTACAGGAAACATGTTATGTGCCATTGATAGCACCCAAGATCTACAGGAAACATGTTATGTGCCATTGATAGCACCCAAGATCTATAGGAAACATGTTATGTGCCATTGATAGCACCCAGGATGTATAGGAAACATGTTATGTGCCATTGGTAGCACCCAAGATGTATAGGAAACATGTTATGTGCCATTGATAGCACCCAGGATCTATAGGAAACATGTTATGTGCGATTGATAGCACCCAAGATCTACAGGAAACATGTTATGTGCCATTGATAGCACCCAAGATCTATAGGAAACATGTTATGTGCCATTGATAGCACCCAGGATCTATAGGAAACATGTTATGTGCCATTGATAGCACCCAAGATCTACAGGAAACATGTTATGTGCCATTGATAGCACCCAAGATGTATAGGAAACATGTTATGTGCCATTGATAGCACCCAAGATGTATAGGAAACATGTTATGTGCCATTGATAGCACCCAAGATCTATAGGAAACATGTTATGTACCATTGATAGCACCCAAGATGTATAGGAAACATGTTATGTACCATTGATAGCACCCTGGATCTATAGGAAACATGTTATGTACCATTGATAGCACCCAGGATCTATAGGAAACATGTTATGTACCATTGATAGCACCCAGGATCTATAGGAAACATGTTATGTGTGATTGATAGCACCCAAGATGTATAGGAAACATGTTATGTGCCATTGATAGCACCCAAGATCTATAGGAAACATGTTATGTGTGATTGATAGCACCCAAGATCTATAGGAAACATGTTATGTACCATTGATAGCACCCAGGATCTATAGGAAACATGTTATGTGCGATTGATAGCACCCAAGATCTACAGGAAACATGTTATGTGCCATTGATAGCACCCAAGATCTACAGGAAACATGTTATGTGCCATTGATAGCACCCAAGATCTACAGGAAACATGTTATGTGCCATTGATAGCACCCAAGATCTACAGGAAACATGTTATGTGCCATTGATAGCACCCAAGATGTATAGGAAACATGTTATGTGCGATTGATAGCACCCAAGATCTACAGGAAACATGTTATGTGCCATTGATAGCACCCAAGATCTACAGGAAACATGTTATGTGCCATTGATAGCACCCAAGATGTATAGGAAACATGTTATGTGCCATTGATAGCACCCAAGATCTATAGGAAACATGTTATGTGCCATTGATAGCACCCAAGATCTACAGGAAACATGTTATGTGCCATTGATAGCACCCAAGATCTATAGGAAACATGTTATGTGCCATTGATAGCACCCAAGATGTATAGGAAACATGTTATGTGCCATTGATAGCACCCAAGATCTATAGGAAACATGTTATGTGCCATTGATAGCACCCAAGATCTACAGGAAACATGTTATGTGCCATTGATAGCACCCAGGATCTATAGGAAACATGTTATGTAGGCTGGCATCAGTGAATGCTTGCTGATGTGACTGGTTTGTGTGTTGCCTCATTGGAGTTATTGTTTGACTCAAATGGTCCAACAGTCCCCATGTCTGTCACCTGTTGCTGACATGTTCTACAACCATGTCTTTCTCACAATGATTACCACTGAGATGCTTCTCTACAACTGTGGTTTGGCATGTGGCTCCCTCTAGAGGACCTTTTGGCTCATTCAGTGTGAGACCTTGCACCTTCAGACCTCGACCTGCCCACCATAACGTTTTGTCTGCGCCAGTCCTTCTCTCTCTGATTGCCTGTTGAATCACTTTCTCTAGTCTGCACAACACATTCTGCTCTCCTTCCTTTTGTTTCTATCTATGATAACAATTAGTGTGATTATTGGCGGCATGTTTGCACACAAGTGATGGATCTCTGGACAGCCTCTCTGTGCTGGTACAGTCCATGCCATGATCTCACACAGATGACCACTAGACTATCTCTGGCCAGCCTCTCTGTGCTGTGCTGGTACAGTCCATGTCGTGATCTCACACAGTTGACTACTGGACTATCTCTGGACAGCCTCTCTGTGCTGTGCTGGTACAGCCCCTTCCTGATCAAGATGCACTGGTGTGTTTAACTAGGCTCACACATGTGGCAGATGCACACACACACACACACACACACACACACCTCTATATCCCCCATCACAGATTTCTGTTTTCCCTCTATTAAATTGCTTCATCACACACACACGCTGACACTAAAACACAGCTGGTTAGTTGCTGAAAGTGATGTGTTGTTAGAATGCATGCTGAGGATATTGATGCAGATGTATGTTCTACCCCACCTATCTATCCACACCGTCCACACATGCACCTCATGTTCTATCTCTGGTAGCAATATCCTCAAATCATATACCCAGTCATGTACTCATTTCTTGTACCAGTGTCCTCATATCATCTACTCAGTCATATACTCATTTCTTGTACCAGTGGCCTCATATCATCTACTCAGTCATGTACTCATTTCTTGTACCAGTGTCCTCATATCATCTACTCAGTCATGTACTCATTTCTTGTACCAGTGTCCTCATATCATCTACCCAGTCATGTACTCATTTCTTGTACCAGTGGCCTCATATCATCTACCCAGTCATGTACTCATTTCTTGTACCAGTGGCCTCATATCATCTACCCAGTCATGTACTCATTTCTTGTACCAGTGGCCTCATATCATCTACCCGGTCATGTACTCATTTCTTGTACCAATATCCTCATATCATCTACTCAGTCATGTACTCATTTCTTGTACCAATGTCCTCATCTACTCAGTCATATACTCATCTCTTGTACCAATGTCCTCATCTACTCAGTCATATACTCATTTCTTGTACCAATGTCCTCATCTACTCAGTCATGTACTCATCTCTTGTACCAATGTCCTCATCTACTCAGTCATGTACTCATTTCTTGTACCAGTGTCCTCATATCATCTACCCGGTCATGTACTCATTTCTTGTACCAATGTCCTCATATCATCTACTCAGTCATATACTCATCTCTTGTACCAATGTCCTCATCTACTCAGTCATATACTCATCTCTTGTACCAATGTCCTCATCTACTCAGTCATATACTCATCTCTTGTCCTGATGTTCAGCCAGATGTCCGAATGTAGTCAATGAGCCCAGCAACACATCTTATCTTCATATCAACTCCAGCCATGTCCCGTGGTGGTGGACACTCCGACAAGGTCAGTCCCTATTCTCCATTGTGTGCCAGTAGTCAGTTGTATATATTGTCAGTGCATGTAGGAAGTCTGTCTTGTGTGAGAGTGCCAGTAGTCAGTTGTCACTGCATGTAGGAAGTCTGTCTTGTGTGAGAGTGCCAGTAGTCAGTTGTATATATTGTCACTGCATGTAGGAAGTCTGTCTTGTGTCAGAGTTCCAGTCTTACTGACAGGTTACCATTAAGAAGTCAGTGTTCAGGTTTGCCAGTTATCAGTGTTGTTGTAGATGTTGCATTATTGTTGTAGATGTTGTATTGCTGTTGGTCATGTTGAAATCAAGTGTTGACCACAGTTAGCTCATGTACACATGAGCAGAAGGTCAGCTTGCCCGGACAGATTGGGGATTCCATCTCCGTTAGTGGTCACACCAGCTCAAGGATCAAAAAGCCCTCTACAGCCTAGCTCTGTACAACACAGCTCTGTACGACACAGTTCTGTACAACACAGCTCTGTACAACCCAGCCCTGTACAACACAGCTCTGTACAACACAGCTCTGTACAACTCAGCTCTGTACGACACAGTTCTGTACAACACAGCTCTGTACAACCCAGCCCTGTACAACACAGCTCTGTACAACACAGCTCTGTACAACACAGCTCTGTACAACACAGCTCTGTATAACCCAGCCCTGTATAACCCAGCCTTGTACAACCCAGCTCTGTACAACCCAGCCCTGTATAACCCAGCTCTGTACAACCCAGCCCTGTATAACCCAGCCCTGTATAACCCAGCCCTGTATAACCCAGCCATGTACAACCCAGCCCTGTATAACCCAGCCCTGTATAACCCAGCCCTGTATAACCCAGCCCTGTATAACCCAGCCCTGTATAACCCAGCCCTGTATAACCCAGCCTTGTATAACCCAGCCCTGTACAACCCAGCCCTGTATAACCCAGCCTTGTATAACCCAGCCCTGTATAACCCAGCCTTGTAGAACCCAGCCCTGTACAACCCAGCCTTGTATAACCCAGCCCTGTATAACCCAGCCCTGTATAACCCAGCCCTGTACAACCCAGCCCTGTACAACCAAATGCATGTCAGTAATTTTAAGAATGATTTGTGAAGAAAGGAACTGGTCAGTTGACCTTATTATGCCAAGGTCTGGGATAGATAAAGGTCTGGTATTTCCTACCCAGTGGCAGTAGCCATCTTGACTTAATAGATAACGACCCCTGAAGTAATAATAGTTGTCAGACCTTTCTCTGCCATGAGCCTTGGCATGCTATGATAGGTCCATATTTGATAGAACATCAGGCCAGCCAGCTGTACTTGCCTAGACACTTCCAGGTACCCTTGGTAAGATGGGGTGAACAGGTAGTAAGGTTAGTGATACAAATAAGTGTCCGTGTGGATGTGAACACCAGCCAGCTGTACTTGCCTAGACACTTCCAGGTACCCTTGGTAAGATGGGGTGACCAGGTAGTTAGGTTAGTGATACAAATAAGTGTTAGTGCGGATGTGAACACCAGCCAGCATAAGGTCAGTTGTATCAGCAACACAGAATTTGTTTAGATGCACTTGTGGTGTGTTTGTGAATAGCAATGTCTTTTATGTACAGTGTCTGACACTGACAGGTGGTGTGACTGAATGTCTTATGTATACAATGTCTGACACTGACAGGTGGTGTGACTGAATATCTTATGTGTACAATGTCTGACACTGACAGGTGGTGTGACTGAATATCTTATGTATACAATGTCTGGCACTGACAGGTGGTGTGACTGAATATCTTATGTATACAATGTCTGGCACTGACAGGTGGTGTGACTGAATATCTTATGTGTACAATGTCTGGCACTGACAGGTGGTGTGACTGAATGTCTTATGTGTACAATGTCTGGCACTGACAGGTGGTGTGACTAAATGTCTTATGTGTACAATGTCTGGCACTGACAGGTGGTGTGACTGAATATCTTATGTATACAATGTCTGGCACTGACAGGTGGTGTGACTGAATATCTTATGTGTACAATGTCTGACACTGACAGGTGGTGTGACTGAATATCTTATGTGTACAATGTCTGACACTGACAGGTGGTGTGACTGAATATCTTATGTGTACAATGTCTGACACTGACAGGTGGTGTGACTGAATATCTTATGTGTACAATGTCTGACACTGACAGGTGGTGTGACTGAATATCTTATGTGTACAATGTCTGGCACTGACAGGTGGTGTGACTGAATATCTTATGTGTACAATGTCTGGCACTGACAGGTGGTGTGACTGAATATCTTATGTGTACAATGTCTGACACTGACAGGTGGTGTGACTGAATATCTTATGTGTACAATGTCTGACACTGACAGGTGGTGTGACTGAATATCTTATGTGTACAATGTCTGACACTGACAGGTGGTGTGACTGAATATCTTATGTATACAATGTCTGACACTGACAGGTGGTGTGACTGAATATCTTATGTGTACAATGTCTGGCACTGACAGGTGGTGTGACTGAATGTCTTATGTGTACAATGTCTGGCACTGACAGGTGGTGTGACTAAATGTCTTATGTGTACAATGTCTGGCACTGACAGGTGGTGTGACTAAATGTCTTATGTGTACAATGTCTGGCACTGACAGGTGGTGTGACTGAATGTCTTATGTGTACAATGTCTGGCACTGACAGGTGGTGTGACTAAATGTCTTATGTGTACAATGTCTGGCACTGACAGGTGGTGTGACTGAATGTCTTATGTATACAATGTCTGGCACTGACAGGTAGTGTGACTGAATATCTTATGTGTACAATGTCTGGCACTGACAGGTGGTGTGACTGAATGTCTTATGTATACAGTGTCTGGCACTGACAGGTAGTGTGACTGAATGTCTTATGTATACAGTGTCTGGCACTGACAGGTAGTGTGACTAAATGTCTTATGTATACAGTGTCCGGCACTGACAGGTGGTGTGACTGAATATCTTATGTATACAATGTCTGGCACTGACAGGTAGTGTGACTGAATGTCTTATGTATACAGTGTCCGGCACTGACAGGTGGTGTGACTGAATATCTTATGTATACAATGTCTGGCACTGACAGGTAGTGCGACTGAATGTAGGTGGCTCCTTCTACACAACCACAAGACCAACACTGTTGTCTGTTCCTGGTACAGTTCTGCACCAGATAGCCTCTGGATCCATGCACTGCCCAAGAGATGACCGTGGCTACATCGTCATTGACCGAGATGGACATACCTTTAGGTGAGGACATTTTTTTTCTTCTCTGGCCAGCTTCTCTGTGCTGGTACAGTCTATGCCATGATTTCATACAGTTGACCACTGGACTATCTCTGGCCAGCTTCTCTGTGCTGGTACAGCCCCTTCCTGATTAAGATGCACTTGGTGTGTTTAACAAGGCTCACACATGTGGCAGACACACACACACACACACACACCTCCATATCCCCCATCACTAATTTGCCATCATAGATTTCTGTTTTCCCTCTATGCTTCGTCACACACACACTGACACTTACACACAGCTGGTTAGTTGCTGGAAGTGATGTGTTGTTAGAATGCATGCTGAGGATGTTGATGCAGATCTATGTTCTAACCCCACCTATTTATCCACACCGTCCACACATGCACCACACATTTACCACACATGCACCACATATTTACCACACATGCACCACACATGCACCACACATTTACCACACATGCACCACATATTTACCACACATGCACCACACATGCACACTACATTTACCACACACGCACCACATATTTACCACACATGCACCACACATGCACACTACATTTACCACACATGCACCACACATTTCTGTTGTCTTGAGATATTCTGTCACATTTCTGTTGTCATTAGATATTCTGTCACATTTCTGTTGTCATTAGATATTCTGTCACATTTTTGTTGTCTCTAGATATTCAGTCACATTTCTGTTGTCTCTAGATATTCTGTCACATTTCTGTTGTCTCTAGATATTCTGTCATATTTTTTATTTGTTTGTCTCTAGATTGTTTGTCTCTAGATATTCTGTCACATTTCTGTTGTCATAAGATATTCTATGTCATTTCTATTGTAGTTTCTTCTTGTTCTTCTTCTGTAGTCTCACCGATACCAGGTTGTAGCCCAGGGTCGTGGTTTTGTCGTCTCACTGATACCAGGTTCTAGCCCAGTGTCATGGTTTTGTCGTCTCACTGATACCAGGTTGTAGCCCAGGGTCGTGGTTTTGTCGTCTCACTGATACCAGGTTGTAGCCCAGGGTCGTGGTTTTGTCATCTCACCGATACCAGGTTGTAGCCCAGGGTCGTGGTTTTGTCGTCTCACTGATACCAGGTTGTAGCCCAGGGTCGTGGTTTTGTCATCTCACTGATACCAGGTTGTAGCCCAGGGTCGTGGTTTTGTCGTCTCACTGATACCAGGTTGTAGCCCAGTGTCAATGTTTTGTCGTCTCACCGATACCAGGTTGTAGCCCAGTGTCATGGTTTTGTAGTCTCACCCATACCAGGTTGTAGTCCAGTGTCATGGTTTTGTCGTCTCACTGATACCAGGTTCTAGCCCAGTGTCATGGTTTTGTAGTATCATGGATACCAGGTTGCAGCCCTGTGTCATGGTTTTGTTGTCTCACTGATACCTGGTTTTAGGCCAGTGTCGTGGTTTTGTTGTCTCACTGATACCAGATTGTAGCCCAGTGTCGTGGTTTTGACGTCTCACTGATACCAGGTTGCAGCCCAGTGTCAGGGTTATCACATATTGGTTTTGTGCTTCTCTGTAGGCTTGGATGATGGATTTTTTTCATCTTTCTTGCAAGTTTCAGCAACATTGTTTATCCATCTGTTCCTTGGTCTTCCCCTAGCCTTGCTCCGATATGCTCTGCTGCTTTTTCTATCCATCAAACTATACTGATTGTGTTGTCCACCTACTCTCCAGTGTTGAGATGGCGTAATGAGCACTCAGTGATCTGAGTGACAGCTTAGTGTTGTTGCTGTCAGAGCTCTTGGTTGAGCTAGATGTCTGGGTCCCTCTGACCTGTGGTCACCCGTGTGTGGTGGGTGGCTCCCACGGGTCACACATGACATGGTGCTCACAGACTAGGCTGCATGCGTTGGTGGCTGCTGCAGTTACCAGAGCTGAAGTCTTGGCTGTTGGTTGTTGTGCCAGCTTTCAACTTCACATGTTTGAAAGACATCTTTAGCCATGTAACAAAAAAAAAGACTGTTATGTGTGTATGTGGACAGAGCTCAGAAGATCCCATGGTCTCTGCCACCAGTATGGGCTGTGAAATGTTTGGCCTGGGCTGACCACAGCCTGTGTCCAGTCAGTTAGAGGTTCCTTCTCATGCTACTGGAGCATTGAGCATATGAGACTGGGCTCGTATTTGTATAGATGATTCAAGCCTTAATGGGCCATGTGGAAACATCATGCTGGGGGCCATGTGGAAACATCTTGCTGGGGGCCATGTGGAAACATCATGTCATGCTGGGGGCCATGTGGAAACATCATGTCATGCTGGGGGCCATGTGGAAACATCATGTCATGCTGGGGACCATGTGGAAACATCATGTCATGCTGGGGGCCATGTGGAAACATCATGCTGGGGGCCATGTGGAAACATCATGTCATGCTGGGGACCATGTGGAAACATCATGTCATGCTGGGGACCATGTGGAAACATCATGTCATGCTGGGGGCCATGTGGAAACATCATGCTGGGGGCCATGTGGAAACATCATGCCGGGGGCCATGTGGAAACATCATGCCTGGGGCCATGTGGAAACATCATGCTGGAGGCCATGTGGAAACATCATGCTGGGGGCCTTGTGGAAACATCATGCTGGGGGCCATGTGGAAACATCATGCTGGGGGCCATGTGGAAACATCATGCTGGGGGCCTTGTGGAAACATCATGCTGGGGGCCTTGTGGAAACATCATGCTGGGGGCCATGTGGAAACATCATGCTGGGGGCTTTGTAGAAACATCATGCTGGGGGCCATGTGGAAACATCATGCTGGGGGCCTTGTGGAAACATCATGCTGGGGGCCATGTGGAAACATTATGCTGGGGGCCATGTGGGAACATCATGCTGGGGGCCATGTGGGAACATCATGCTGGGGGCCATGTGGAAACATCATGCTGGGGGCCATGTGGAAACATCATGCTGGGGGCCTTGTGGAAACATCATGCTGGGGGCCATGTGGAAACATCATGCTGGGGGCCATGTGGAAACATCATGCTGTGGGCCTTTTGGAAACATCATGCTGGGGGCCTTGTGGGAACATCATGCTGGGGGCCATGTGGAAACATCATGCTGGGGGCCATGTGGGAACATCATGCTGGAGAGCCTTGACTTTGCAGGACTTGCCCTGGTACCTTGGAAGACTGGGTGGAGCTGGGAGCAAAGGTTGCTTGTGTTCTGTGGTCAGACAGAATGATCCTGATAGACCCAGAGCCACTGCTGCCATGTTAAACAGGTTTGTTCACTATTGTGTCATGGTATCTTGTGTGCCAGTGGGGCAGGGAGAGATGCAGTCAGTTGACACCAAGTCAAATTGTTTGTTGTCCTGACTGTTCTGTATTGGGAGAGTTGTTGAAGTAGTCAAATATGTGTTGAAGAACAAGAAAAACTGATGTTCTGTGACCATTGCACTTACTCCATAGATACGTACTGAATTTCCTGCGGACCAACAAACTGATCATCCCCATTGGTTACCGGGAGTTGGACATTCTCAGAGAAGAAGCCAGGTACTACGGACTGGATCACTTGGTGAGTTGTCTTCTTTTGGTTTCAGTTTCTCACAGGGGCCATGCCTTCATTGTTTCCGTAGTCTGTAGTAGGTTTCCCTGACTTGTTCTATTGCTGCCACTGCTTCAGTCTGTAGTAGAAGTTTCCCTGACTTGTTCTATTGCTCACCTCCCACTGCTTCAGTCTGTAGTAGGTTTCCCAGACTTGTTCTATTGCTCACCTCCCACTGTATCAGTCTGTAGTAGAAGTTTCCCTGACTTGTTCTATTGCTCCCACTGTATCAGTCTGTAGTAGAGGTTTCCCTGACTTGTTCTATTGCTCCCACTGCATCAGTCTGTGGTAGAAGTTTCCCTGACTTGTTCTATTGCTGCCACTGCTTCAGTCTGTAGTAGAAGTTTCCCTGACTTGTTCTATTGCTCCCACTGCATCAGTCTGTAGTAGAAGTTTCCCTGACTTGTTCTATTGCTCCCACTGCATCAGTCTGTAGTAGAAGTTTCCCTGACTTGTTCTATTGCTCCCACTGCATCAGTCTGTAGTAGAAGTTTCCCTGACTTGTTCTATTGCTCCCACTGCATCAGTCTGTAGTAGAAGTTTCCCTGACTTGTTCTATTGCTGCCACTGCTTCAGTCTGTAGTAGAAGTTTCCCTGACTATTTCTATTGCTGCCACTGCTTCAGTCTGTAGTAGAAGTTTTCCTGACTTGTTCTATTGCTGCCACTGCTTCAGTCTGTAGTAGAAGTTTCCCTGACTTGTTCTATTGCTCCCACTGCATCAGTCTGTAGTAGAAGTTTCCCTGACTTGTTCTATTGCTCCCACTGCATCAGTCTGTAGTAGAAGTTTCCCTGACTTGTTCTATTGCTCCCACTGTATCAGTCTGTAGTAGAGGTTTCCCTGACTTGTTCTATTTTTCCCACTGCATCAGTCTGTAGTAGAGGTTTCCCTGACTTGTTCTATTGCTCCCACTGTATCAGTCTGTAGCAAAGTTTCCCTGACGTTCTATTGCTCCCACTGCATCAGTCTGTAGTAGAGGTTTCCCTGACTTGATCTGTTGCTCACAATGTATCAGTCTGTAGTAGAGGTTTCCCTGACTTGTTCTATTGCTCCCACTGCATCAGTCTGTAGTAGAGGTTTCCCTGAATTGTTCTATTGCTCCCACTGCATCAGTCTGTAGTAGAGGTTTCCCTGACTTGTTCTATTGCTCCCACTGCATCAGTCTGTAGTAGAGGTTTCCCTGACTTGTTCTATTGCTCCCACTGTATCAGTCTGTAGTAGAGGTTTCCCTGACTTGTTCTATTGCTCCCACTGCATCAGTCTGTAGTAGAGGTTTCCCTGAATTGTTCTATTGCTCCCACTGCATCAGTCTGTAGTAGAGGTTTCCCTGACTTGAACAATGTATCAGTCTGTAGTAGAGGTTTTCCTGACTTGTTCTATTGCTCCCACTGTATCAGTCTGTAGTAGAGGTTTCCCTGACTTGTTCTATTGCTCCCACTGCATCAGTCTGTAGTAGAGGTTTCCCTGACTTGATCTATTGCTGCCACTGCATCAGTCTGTTGTAGAGGTTTCCCTGACTTGTTCTATTGCTACCACTGCTTCAGTCTAGTAGAGGTTTCCCTGACTTGTTCTATTGCTACCACTGCTTCAGTCTGTAGTAGAGGTTTCCCTGACTTGTTCTATTGCTCCCACTGTATCAGTCTGTAGTAGAGGTTTCCCTGAATTGTTCTGTTGCTAAGACTGTATCAGTCTAGTAGAAGTTTTCCTGACTTGTTCCATTGCTCCCACTGCATCTGTCTGTAGTAGAAGTTTTCCCGACTTGTTCTATTGCTGCCACTGCATCAGTCAGTAGTAGAAGTTTCACTGACTTGTTCTATTTCTCCCACTGCTTCAGTCTGTAGTAGAAGTTTCCCTGACTTGTTCTATTGCTGCCACTGTTTCAGTCTGTAGAAGAGGTTTCCCTGACTTGTTCTATTGCTCCCACTGTATCAGTCAGTAGTAGAGGTTTCCCTGACTTGTTCTATTGCTCCCACTGCTTCAGTCTGTAGTAGAAGTTTCCCTGACTTGTTCTATTGTCCAGTGTTAATGTCATCATTGTGACTGTCGCATCTATTAATGTCATCATTGTGACTGTCGCATCTGTTAATGTCATCATTGTGACTGTCGCATCTGTTAATGTCATCATTGTGACTGTCGCATCTGTTAATGTCATCATTGTGACTGTCTCATCTGTTGATGTCATCATTGTGACTGTCTCATCTGTTGATGTCATCATTGTGACTGTCTCATCTGTTGATGTCATCATTGTGACTGTCTCATCTGTTGATGTCATCATTGTGACTGTCTCATCTGTTGATGTCATCATTGTGACTGTCTCATCTGTTGATGTCATCATTGTGACTGTCTCATCTGTTGATGTCATCATTGTGACTGTCTCATCTGTTGATGTCATCATTGTGACTGTCTCATCTGTTGATGTCATCATTGTGACTGTCTCATCTGTTGATGTCATCATTGTGACTGTCTCATCTGTTGATGTCATCATTGTGACTGTCTCATCTGTTGATGTCATCATTGTGACTGTCTCATCTATTAATGTCCTTGTTATGATGGTCTGTCTTCTCTGTATGCAGGTGGCTGCTGTGGACTCTATTATTGAGGGCAGGAAGAAGAGAGCCCGGGGGCGGCGCTGGAACGGAGCAGCCCGCAGACTCAGCGCTAGTGTTGGGGAAAATCTCAATCTTCTGCCTGAAGATGACGGCGATGACTTGGACTTTTTTGAGGACAGCTGGATTGGTGGCTCCAACTCGCTTCAGTGATCCCTAGCATCTGCTACATCTTGGGACTGCCTACGCTACCTGCAGTTTTTGTTTCAGTTCTCTTCAGTAGTGTAAACATGGGCATAGCCTTGCCATCCTGTGACAGGAACACTGGAGTCTAGCTGCCAGTGAGTGATGACCAGACAGGCAGGTCCCCTTGTCAGCAGCAAGATTTGAGGCAGAGCTAGCAATTTTTCCATGTTCATCTGATATAGCCCATTCAACCTGTGTGGTTTGTGGTAGAGGGTATACAATGTCACTGACTGCTGCCAGTGTTGCAGTGGTTTAACATCCAGTTGTTTTCACCCGACTCAACTCTGGGTCACGGGTCACCAATAAGCCCGGCTTACCAGCATGGCCCCTGTAATGAAGTTTCCTAGAAGATTCAAGCATGTGACTCGGCTGTCTGTTGAGAGTCTGCCATCTGTTACAGTCATCTCATAAACATAGAGGAGCAGTACCTGCACTCAGACACAAAGTATCAGGCCTCCATTTCCTCGCCTGGAGATACACAGACATATGGTGCTTATGCCACATGCCTCTAGACCAGTCAGCATCTGGCCAGCCACTTGTGTTTCCTAGGACATTTCCAGCTGGCCCAGTGGGCAAGTGTTCGTCCTGTAGCAGATAGCCTAGTCAAGTGGTTACAGTAACACATGTCAGCATGGGTGAAATATAACTACAACATGTAGCTGCTGGAGTGACCGGCTCTCTTGAAGTTGATGTTACACCTCGAGCCTTTCTCCAGAGATCTTCTCCGTGAGTTCTCCCTGCTGTGGCTAGAGAAAAGACATTGCAATCCAACTGAGGGTTTTTGCACATCTCACTAGCAGAATAAGAATACCATGTTGTATCTGTCTTCTAGCCTTTGACACTAACCAGATATCACTTACTGTTTCGTCACTTGGTAAGTACCATCTGGATGCAGGGGGTTGCTTTCACATAAACATCTCCAGATGATGGTCTGAGAGTGTGAGAAACTGGCCAGGTCCACATCTAAGAGTTCTAGGCTTTAGCCAGCTCTCAACACAACAGTTTCATTGATGTTGTGGACCCAGGATAAAACTGGATAGTCTAGACTGAAACTGGGTGGATCCAGACTGTTGTGAGCACATCTAGCCTAGCTAAATCTGATGAGATTGTGCACATGGTCTGAAAACTAGAGAACTGACTGTAGGTAATATCTGCTGACGCTGGTAGTATTTTCGCATCCAATTGTTCATCTCATGTGCTATCATAAAAATACTAGTCTAGTCGTGTAATGTAAATCTGCCTCTGGCGACGGTCTCCACACCCTGATTCCATGTTTGACAATGATGTTTCTAAAACTCTAACATTCCAGCATGTAACGGGTTGTCAGCACCGTAAATACACCTGGCCCCGCACCAGAGCAACCACATCTCTTCACTTTTTCATGAGTTAAAGGTTACACCTTTTCTCCTTTGGTTTGATACCTTCTTACTATGGAACACTCAAGTGTTCCATTGTTGCAAAACCTCTTATATACCTTCTTACTCAAGTGTTCCATTGTTGCAACACATCTTATATACCTTCTTACTCAAGTGTTCCATTGTTGCAACACATCTTATATACCTTCTTACTCAAGTGTTCCATTGTTGCAAAACATCTTATATACCTTCTTACTCAAGTGTTCCATTGTTGCAACACATCTTATATACCTTCTTACTCAAGTGTTCCATTGTTGCAACACATCTTATATACCTTCTTACTATGGAACACTCAAGTGTTCCATTGTTGCAACACATCTTATATACCTTCTTACTATGGAACACTCAAGTGTTCCATTGTTGCAACACATCTTATATACCTTCTTACTATGGAACACTCAAGTGTTCCATTGTTGCAACACATCTTATATACCTTCTTACTATGGAACACTCAAGTGTTCCATTGTTGCAACACATCTTATATACCTTCTTACTATGGAACACTCAAGTGTTCCATTGTTGCAACACATCTTATATACCTTCTTACTATGGAACACTCAAGTGTTCCATTGTTGCAAAACCTCTTATATACCTTCTTACTCAAGTGTTCCATTGTTGCAACACATCTTATATACCTTCTTACTCAAGTGTTCCATTGTTGCAACACATCTTATATACCTTCTTACTCAAGTGTTCCATTGTTGCAAAACATCTTATATACCTTCTTACTCAAGTGTTCCATTGTTGCAACACATCTTATATACCTTCTTACTCAAGTGTTCCATTGTTGCAACACATCTTATATACCTTCTTACTCAAGTGTTCCATTGTTGCAAAACCTCTTATATACCTTCTTACTCAAGTGTTCCATTGTTGCAAAACCTCTTATATACCTTCTTACTCAAGTGTTCCATTGTTGCAAAACATCTTATATACCTTCTCACTCAAGTGTTCCATTGTTGCAAAACATCTTATATACCTTCTTACTCAAGTGTTCCATTGTTGCAACACATCTTATATAACTTCTTACTCAAGTGTTCCATTGTTGCAACACATCTTATATACCTGATTACAGCAGATTTTGACCTGCTTAGCATGGACAACTGGTTCACATTGACATAAGTCCATGTAGACAGGTCTGTCACAACACCAGTACATGTACACAGGTCTGTCAAGACACCAGTCCATGTACACACCAGTCCATGTACACACCAGTGTGAGTAGACACCAGTCCATGTACATACCAGTCCATGTACACAACAGTCCATGTACACACCAGTCCATGTACATACCAGTCCATGTAGACACCAGTCCATGTACACACCAGTCCATGTACACACAAGTCCATGTACATACCATTTCATGTACACACCATTTCATGTACACACCATTTCATGTAGACACTAGTTCATGTAGATATCAGTCCATGTAGACACCAGTCCATGTAGACACCAGTCCATGTAGACACCAGTCCATGTAGACACCAGTCCATGTAGACACCAGTCCATGTAGATATCAGTCCATGTAGATATCAGTCCATGTAGACACCAGTCCATGTAGACACCAGTCCATGTAGACACCAGTCCATGTAGACACCAGTCCATGTAGACACCAGTCCATGTAGACAGGCCTGTCTAGACACCAGTCCATGTAGACAACAGCTCTGCTAGACACTGTTGACCAAACACCTCATGACTGGGTGGGGCTAACTCTGATGCAGTCCAGGTGTATCTATGTGCTGTTTTCTAGATAGAAATATATCCAGAGGTTTCTGTTATACAGCAGATTAATACTGAGCTGTTTTCTATGTACTGTATGCTGACTTCTCCCTGTGGATTTTTATATATTTATATATACACATCTATTTATTGATCTACATACACATTTGCAGATTGTAGATAGAGGAAGATTTGTTGTGTGTGTTGTCTGTAGATGGTTTCTTGACATGATTAGCAGGACACTGACAATGTTTAGGTTCATGTCACCTGCCACAGATAGTCTCACTGGGTGGGACACATGCCTGCAGTGTGTTCTCCAAGTGTGTTTGTGGGGGGGAGGGGGCGGGGCATTAGCCTGGTTAGTTCTGAATGTTCTGTTTAAACCAGCAGTCCGTGTCTGTGTGTGGCACATTCTACAACTGTACACCTGCATATCACATCTGCTTGTCATGAGTGTCCGTGTCTGTGTGTGACACATGCTACAACTGAACATCTGCATATCACATCTGCTTGTCATGAGTGTCTGTCTTGTCACATATCACATCTGCTTGTCATGCGTGTCTGTCCTGTCACATATCACATCTGCTTGTCATGAGTGTCCGTGTCTGTGTGTGACACACGCTACAACTGAACACCTGCATATCACATCTGCTTGTCATGAGTGTCTGTCCTGTCACATATCACATCTGCTTGTCATGAGTGTCCGTGTCTGTGTGTGACACATGCTACAACTGTACACCTTCATATCACATCTGCTTGTCATGAGTGTCTGTTTCTGTCCTGTCACATATCACATCTGCTTGTCATGAGTGTCTGTTTCTGTCCTGTCACATATCACATCTGCTTGTCATGAGTGTCTGTTTCTGTCCTGTCACATATCACATCTGCTTGTCATGAGTGTCTGTTTCAGTCCTGTCACATATCACATCTGCTTGTCATGAGTGTCTGTGTCTGTGTGTGACACATGCTACAACTGTACACCTGCATATCACATCTGCTTGTCATGAGTGTCTGTTTCTGTCCTGTCACATATCCAAATGCAGGAGCTGCAGTAGAATCTGCTTGTCCAAAGCTCTAGGACAGTGGTTGGCAAATTGTGGCTCACCTGAGTGTGGTTTACCAGCCGCACGCCACACTTTAGCGACCTGAGTGTGGTTCACCAGCCGCATGTGGCTCTTTAGCAACCTGAGTGCGGCTCACCAGCTGCATGTGGCATTTTAGCGACCTGATTGTGGCTCACCAGCCGCATGTGGCTCTTTAGCGACCTGAGTGTGGCTAGGCCAGTTGGCCACAAATTTTTTTTTTTTTTTTTTTCCCCGATAAATGTGGTTCTTGAAAAAAAATGTGGCTGTCAGAAAAAAGTTAATTGTCTAGGAATCTGGTCCACAAAATTGACTCCGTTTAAAACAGGTATCAGGTAATATCCTGGGAGGTAAAGGGGGCTGGTGTGATGTTGACACATTGCTCATTGATGGCTGATTGGCTGTAAAAATATGTATGTAGCATCATGTACCTAAATTGCCATAACTAGGGTCCATTTCTTGTTCACACATGTGTTTACTGTTATCTTCTCCATGTTCACTGGCTGTAAACTTTTTTTTTAATCCACTTCTGAAACCCAGTAATGCTCCAGAACCTGAGTGTTGCGTGCACATCATTTTTACAGATCTGACTCATTCGTATGCGGACTGTTGGTTGCTTGCCTGTCAGGCAGATGCACTTCGACTTCAGAGGCAGCTCCTGATTAGTCGACTCTTAGGACACGCTTTCGGGTTGGCAGTGGGCTCTTTTTGTTTCCTCACCTTATTGCTCTTAAACCCACACAGGATTACTG